CTGATCTCCCTCATTACTTAAGGCTGGTCTGAAGCAATAGAAGGGCTTGCTGAACTTATACATTGTTCCTGAGGCCTGGGGCTTTGCAGGAACACTCATAACAATTTACCAAGTCTGGAGAAGAAGGTCTTTGCAAATCTTGAGTGCCCAGGGAGAGTTGTGTGTGGTTGATTATTTATTGGGCCTCAACTATGTACTAGGTACTGAATTTAGAGCTAGCATTAAATAGTCACTTAAGATATAGCTCTTAAAGAGACTAAACCTGATAGATGAAGACAAACTTTTCAACAATGATTGTCTCATAGTATTTACAGGTGGTATGATTAATTAGGCCTAAGGAGATATAGAAACATTTGATAGAAGTTGCAGAAGCTTACAGGGGTGATATTTTAGTGAAGAGATGATCCAGGAGTGGACTGAGTAATGGGCACAGCATGAGTAATAATTGTAAGTTAAGACACAGGCCTCTTATGAGACCCCTAAGTACTACAGGATGGCCGGTGTATAAGGGTGAAAGTAGAGCTTACTAGGATATATGGTTGGAAAAACAGGCCAAGGAGAACCAAGTATGATATACTAGGGCTTTTGAATTTATCCTATGGACTAAAGGGAGCCTTGAAAAGTTTTAAGCAAGGTTGTATTTTGACCAGCTTCTCATTTTAAAAGACCACTTTGGCAGCAAAAGTTTGCACTGAGACCAATATAAGTACTATTGCAATAATTCCTGTAAGATGAGGGCCTCAGTCAAGCCACAGGGATTAGTGGTTGGGTCAGGGAGTAGGAGAAGAGATTGTGCAGAGGTGGCGAGGAGGTGGGTGGATAGGGGGATGGAAAGAAAGGATAAATTCTAGAAGTTTTAAGATGGTAGAATTGACAGGACATGGCAGGAGATTTGATGTGGGGAAAGGAGCAAGGAAAACTGGGGGAAATTAGTGTTCGACTTTTGAATGTTAGAATTTATGGTGATTGTGGGACTCCCATCTGGAGATGTGCAGTAGGCAGCCAAATATTTGAGAACATTACTCAAGAAGTTGTTTTGTAAAGGTGGTCAATGTAAACAACTTAGGCTCAAAGTTCCTTGATTTTAATGAGCTTTTCAGGTCTTCAGTTCAGCAAACCACCATCACAGTCATGTCTAGATCACAATATCATCTTCAGCTGCTCTAAATATGAAGCATTAAAGTCCAGTAAGGCAGTTTGACCCCTGGTTCCTCCTATGTTCCAGCTCTCTTATTGCTTTATAGCCTTATCTTTCCTTTTAGATCACAGACTTCATGTCGCTCTACATCTTCTTTTACTCATAGTCCATCGAAGCTTCGTACTATTTCTTTTTCTATCTGGTCTAAACCACAAAGGACCCAGTCCAATTCAGTTACTTTTTAATATGTATGAGCTCATGCCCTTGCTTTCTGACATATACTTCTGCAGATTCTTAATGTTGTATCTAGACTGCTGGGTGTTAAAGGAGAGCACACAATCTATGGACAGGGATTGCCACAAATGTGTGTTCCCTCAGCACCCTTGTATAATATTTTTGCTTGTCCCATGCCAGGTTCATTTTCCAAAACCTATTCGATACTTTCACTACCTTCTTCATGCCTCCTTCCATATCGACACCTTGCCTTCACAACTCAATTAGCAAATGGTCTTATTCTCTATTTCAAAGACAAAATTGAAGGGATCATGTCTGATTCCCTCACATCCAATTCCACACCTTCAAACTCATTCATGCCTGCATCTTCTTGCCACGGAGGAGAGGATAATTCAAAGATGTTAATTTTCAAAAGTCTTTCTGTGTTCTTCACCTGATCGTTACTCTTTCAATTATTCCTTTCTCTTCTAAATTAATTTCTCTATGTTGGTACTTACCTTCTACATGATCAAGTCTTCACGTTAAAAAAAAATAAAAACTCTCATTTGAACCGTCATTTCTCTCCAGCTGCAAATCCCCTTTCCAGATAAATGGTCAGTGAATGTTTATGACCTTACACCTCTAAACCAGGGTTTTCCCAACTTCAACACTCTTTTGGGACTGATAATTCTTTGCTGTGGGAGCTATCCTGTGCGTTGTAGGATGTTTAGCAGCATCCCTGGTATTTACTAAATAGATGCCAGTAATACTGCCCCCTCCCCCAGTTGTAACAATGAAAAATATCCGTAGACCCCTGAGAGGGCGGGAGGGGCAAAATTGTTCACGTTGATATTAAACCCATAACACTGGTAGTTTGAGTAAGCCTGTGCAAAGAGACTCTGAAAAGCTGTAACAACATTTTTTTTTTTTCTTTTTGCGGTACGCGGGCCTCTCACTGTTGTGGCCTCTCCCGTTGCAGAGCAAAGGCTCCGGACGCGCAGGCTCAGTTGCCATGGCTCACGGCTCAGCCGCTCCGCGGCATGTGGGATCTTCCCACACCAGGGCACGAACCCATGTCGCCTGCATCGGCAGGCGGACTCTCAACTACTGTGCCACCAGGGAAGCCCTGTAACAACGTTTTATTAGCAGAAGAGATTATGCTACTGGAGTGATGACGCTAGCAAAGACTATTGTTCTATTAAGAACCTAGGCTGGCAGGAAACCTAGTAGTGCATATAGAGAAGGTATTAAAAAATGTTGCTCTGGGGAATATTCAGAGTGGACTTTGAGAGATTGTGTGACTTCAGGTTATTGAAACTTACCTGCTGCAAAACACATGCTAATGAATTTCTTTATTAATTTCTTTTCATTAAGATAATTTCTTTCTGATATATTATGTGTAGTAAGTTAGCAAGCTGGGTAACTCACTACCATGTTTGATGGAAGAATAGTGATAGGATTTGAAGGAAGAGAAACATGACCCCTAAAGAAAAATGTATGCCCTTTGAACTGTGGTCAACTTTGAAATGGGGTTCACATATGTTAATGCTTTTGCAGATACCAAGTTAGTCAAGTTTGTATCAGATTTTTATAAAAGGAATGTGAGTTAAGGTATAAATTATAGAATGTTATTCTTTAGAGCCAGAAGGAAAAAATGATGTTTCCATTAAGCAGAAGAAGTGCTCTTTTCATTTCAGCACACCCAGCACTGACTTGTGGCTACCATTAGGTTCAACTCTCTAGGTTGCTCCTTGTTGGTGGATAACATAGGAAACTGAATTAAGAAAGTCAGAATGTCTGTAGGTGATTCCAATGTAGGCTTAAACTCTTTATTTTATTTTTAAACCTTGTCTATGTTGTAGAAATTTTGTGAGACATTTAGACCTGATGACATGATGCCCTGGAAAGATGTTTTAAATCAATTATTTTTAATTTGTTGAGTGCTGTGTTTCAAACCATGGGCTGAAATCAAGGAAATCTCTAATTCTTCCATAACTGTGAGGTGCAGTGGTGTAATGCCACTACCTCATCCTGGCTCACAAGAACCAATTTTCAACATCTCTTCCCAACTCTGTGTTCAGTGACTGGAATCAGCTATGGTAGGAGTATTTACACCATAGAATCAAAGCATGCCACAAATCAGGGCTTTTTTTTTTTTTTTTCTTTCCAGAGAACTGTTTTATCTGCACACCACTGAAGATAGATCTTATTGTCCCAATTTCAGAGCTGAAACTAAGTCTCAGAAAAGTAACTCCCTAAATGAGTTTAACTTTGAAAACCACATGAGCTCAAAGTCATGTGAACTCAAAGGAGTCAAGGTGTAATTTTTTTTTTTCTGTTGGCACAGTTTTTTTTTTTTATCCTGTTTTTTTTTTTTTTTTTGGCATATAGTTGCTTTACAACGTTGTGTTAGTTTCTTCTGTACAACGAAGTGAATCAGCTATATGTATACATATATCCCCTCCCTCTTGGACCTCCCACTCCCCCTGCCCAATCCCACTCATCTAGGTCATCACAGAGCACCAAGTTGAGCTCCCTGTGCTATACAGTAGGTTCCCACTAGCTATCTATTTTACACATGGTAGTGTATATATGTCAATCCTAATCTCTCAATTCGTCCCACCCTCCCCTTCCCTCCCCCATATCCACATGTCCATTCTTTACATCTGCATCTCTATTCCTACCCAGAAGATAGGTTCATCTGTACCATTTTTCTAGATTCCACATACATGCATTAATATACAATATTTGTTTTTCTTTTTCTGACTTACTTGACTCTGTATGACAGTCTCTAGGTCCATCCACATCTCTACAAATGACCCAATTTCATTCCATTTTATGGCTCAGTAATATTCCATTCTATATATGTACCACACCTTCTTTATCCATTCATCTGTCTATGGACATTTAAGTTGTTTCCATGTCCTGGCTATTGTAAATAGTGTTCCAATGAACATTGGGGTACGTATGTCTTTTTGAATTATGGTTTTCTCAGCAACCCCACTGCTGGGCATATACCCTGAGAAAACCATAATTCAAAAAGATATAATATGAACATAAGAGAATTACTTTTTTTCTACTCAAGGGGTAGAATCCAGCTGAATTTAGGTTTTCTTCATAGAAGATTCCATATCCTTGTGAATTATATATTTTTCTTTTCATTGTACACAACAGAGAAATCAACTGTACTTCAATATAATGATAATTTTTTGATGTTCCTCTGTTTCCCTTACCTTCCTCACTGATCATAAATGAATGGATCATAAGACAGTATTTGAGACCTAGATTTTGGTGTATATTAGAGTGTCATTTTTCATCATACTTGGTTCCTAACAAACGTATTATTTGCAAACTGTTCCCATCATTTGATTAATTAACCTCTCTTCTATTACTAACAATTCTCTGATCCTGAACAACTTTTCTCAGCTATCTAGTATGGGGGATGTCACTGGTGGCCTCTAAGGTCATTGCCATCCATGCCAACATAAAGATTCTTATGCTTCTAATAACTAGAGTATGCCCTGCTGTTAAAATACTAATGTAGAATATGTCATAAATAAAGTAATTTTAGTCTAATTTTATTGAAGATGTAGGCTCAGAAATGAAGTTTATTTTGTTGTGTAGTGAAGTTTTTATTTTGTTTTGAAAGTTTCAAGACCTGAAGCTGAGGGAGTTCTACTGTGAGGGAAACCCACTCTTCCTGAAGCAGCCGGTTAATGCTGTAAAACACAAGGACATCTGGAGTCTACAGGTGAAGCCTTATAGCATTCACACAGGTCTTCAAACTAAAGCCATGATTTAAGTTTTAAAGAGTTTTCTTCTAAAGCATTCTTGCCAAGCCAGCGAACGATCCATACAACCATAATCCATTGGCATTGTGGACCCTAGTCATAATCTTTTTGACTTGCTTGCAGAATCCATTGTAATCCTATCTGATTTCCAGAGTGACCAAATTCAGAGACATTTAAACATTTTATTGGATGAAAACATTTTGTTGAAAACAAAGGAATTTGTTTTCACTTTAACCTCCAAGTATTTTTTCAGTATTATCTAAGGATATATTTGATTAGTTCTTACTGGGGTGTTTTGTCTTTTCCATCCCCTTTTCACTTGTCCCCACTCCTAGTGGATAAATGAATATGATCTAGAAACTGTGTTCCCTTTAGTCAACAAGTTGATGATATTAAAGGAAGGAATAGGGAAATACATTACGAGACTCTCTTTGTGAGTATTTTGGTGATAGATGAGTTAAAGATTTCAGATCTTTCCACATTTGAGTATGAGTCTCCATCATGAATTTGGACTCCTCAGGTCCTTTTAGGTCTGTAGCTGAACATGCAGAATTGTCTTAAAACTTTCAAGAATTGCATAGGATTCAAGTTTCCTGGTTACAGGAAACAACAAACCTTGTTTGACAATTTAGTTTAAAAAAATAACATTTCCCCCTTATTGCACAAGTAATATATGTTTAATACAGAAAAGTAGAAAATACAGATGAGTGAAGAAGAAAATATTAGTTATAATGCCATACTTATTTAAAAATTTATTATAAAAGTAATACAAACTTATTTAGAGAAATTAGAAAAAAGGCAATAGAAATTGATTAAAAAAAAACCTCAGAAATCCAATATGCAGAGTTACAATCACTGTTCTCTCTGACATTTATTCTCCTAGAACTTTCCATAAATCCAGAAATTTCTGTCATCAAAGATGATTTCAAACTCCACATACTATTTAGAGACTCGCTTTTTTTACTCAAAATATTGTGAATATCTTTCCAATCAATAAGAAATATATCTATGACATCTTTTTTGATGAATACATAATAATATTCTGGTATATGATTACACCATAATATTTTAAACTACTTTCCTACTGTTGGCTGTTTAGATTATTAATAATTTTATAACTTTTAGGCCTTTATAAACAAGGCTATGATGACTGTCCTCTTCTTATGTCTATATTATCCCTGTGAGTGAAATTGCTGGGCCAAAGAACTTTCATCTTTTAAAGTCTGATTAGCTCTTTTCAAATTCTTTTCCAGAGAATCAATCTATATTTCCACAAACAGTATTATTTCCCACTCTCAAGTAAAAAAAAACTCACTTGATGTTTAATTGTAAATAATTTTAAAAACTGAAGTATTTAATTTGTTTAATTCCTTATAACCTAATTATCTCCTTGAATCAAGTATTTCAGAATAGTAGTAGTAAAATAATAACAATAATAATAGACAGCTAACACTTATTATGCTTACCATGGGCAATGCATTGTTCTAAGCACGTAACAGGAATGAACTAATTTAGTCCTCCATTAACGCTTGAAAGGTAGGTACTGTTATTGTCCCCTTTTATAGGTAAACTGAGACTCGGAGAGGTTAAATAACTTGTCCAAGTTCACAGAGCTAGTAAGTTTTGGAATGCTGATGCCATTCTAAGCAGTTTTGCTCCAGACTCCATGCTGCAGTATCGCCTCAGAAAGGGGCTGCCAGAAACTGAGGGAAAGGGAAACAGGGGTAGTCTCTGGTTGGAAGAGGTTCTGGTTTGTGGACGGGACTGGATGAGCGGTTAACTCAATGTGGCAGGTGTCTTACAGGGAGCACTTGAGAGCAAGAATGTTACCTTGGGCCTGGGACCGAGGAGCAGGGTGAGAGAGCAATATTTCTTCCTTCTCATTTCAAAACTAAGGACCCAGGAACACAACAGTTTTGGGTTTTTGTTTTGTTTATTTAGTAGAAGTAATGATTTTTACTTACAGTACATAAATGACTTGGGTATTTTTGAAAGTATCTCTAAGAATTTTTCTTAGAAAGGTGGTAAATTTATTATACATTTTATATTTGTACTTAAAGTAAAAGCCATTTCTACTGGGTATTTGGTTAACATTAATGATTAAATTACTTGGGCTGTCAAAAAACTATAGGGATTGTTTCAGGCTTTGCATTCGCTAAGGTTTTTTAAAGACTTTTCCTCACCTCAGAGATTTGTGAACTAAAATTTAACTAAAATTGATAACTACATTATAACAAAATATTAGCTAGAATATACTGCATCAGCAGATGCCAGACTGAGTTTTACCTGTGTTATGTAATTTAATTCTCTGAACTCTATGTGATAGTGCTGGGAAAAAAAATCCCTATTTTACAGGTGAGGTATCCAAGATCAGAGAAGTTAAGGACTTGTCCAAATAGGGTCACACTAATAAGTCACAGAGCCAGGATTTGCACCTATTTATCTATCTGACTCTGACTCAGTATCTTTGCTCTTCATGCTACATTTTAGTGCCTATCATACAGTAACAATTGATCATACAATAGTTCCAAAGTTCAATATTCCTTCTAAGGATTCACATTTGTTTTTACATTTTATAATTTTTTATATTTATATAAATATAATTTGTTTATGGATAATTTTATAATTCAAGTGAAATCATCATATGTAAGGAAAAATAAAAGAAACACCCGAAACTAATTTTAATCTATGATGGTTTAAACATAGAAATAATCTCTGACCTACATATAGTTATCTAACAAATATTCTAACAGAATAGCATATAAACTATTTAAAAGGAACAATTTTTTTGTCATAGAAGATTTCTTGACTTTTAAATAGTGCCGAGATTAGGCCATCATTAAGTTGTGTATCCTCAAAAACTGCATTGCACGTATCTTTACGAGTTTTCCTGAAATTTACTATTGGTCATGCCAAAAGTATCTTATTTTATATACACTTGTATTTTCAAGTAATAACTTTATATTTCAATGATATATGTTATTCTTCCACAGCAACACATTGGCAGCAAGTAGGAGAAGGATATAAATAATGGGTAATGTAAGAGTTGTCAAGAGACATACTGAGTGCGACAAACATGTTTGGTTCCAGAAATCATAAATGGAAAAAGTGAACTGTATGAATTGTGACCTATTTATTCGTTCCATGTACTTCAGCAAATTCTACCACCTGCTATTTTGGGGTTTGAATTCTTGTCTATTAGTTTTCTGCGGCTTTATAGTGAGACTAGCTGTTGAATTCTGGTAGATAAAACTTACCTCTAAAATCAGTGTTTCATTCAGAATCACAACCTATGCTTTGTGTAAGTAGTTAGAGAGGAGTGATAACAAACATCTAATTTAGGAGTCCTGTAATATTAGTGTGAAAGGGTAATTCTTTCAGAAAGGATGACCTCATTATGTAACCATCCCCGAGAATAAGCTGAAGTGTGTAGGAGGTTATGCTGTTGAAGGATCAGGCAGTTAGGAACCAATGCTCAGGGCTGTTTTTGTATAATGGCATCTTTCCCAGATGTTTGTTAAGTGGAATGGATAGAGAAATAAGGGAAAGAGACACAGGAATTTATAGGATTTTGTTATTATTTAAAAGATTTTAATTGGGATAGATGAGTGAAAGATTATGTCTGTATGTATTGTGTTGGCCAAAAAGTTCCTTTGGTTTTCAAGTAAAAATAAAAGACACATTTTTCATTTTACCCAAGAACTTTATTGAACAATGTATTCACCGTTTTGTTCCACTACTTTCTGCCATTTTTTAGGCAACTTCATAATTCCATCTTCCCAAAACTTTTTATCTTTTTGAGCAAAGAACTGTTCCAGGTGCCTTTTACAGTCTTCCAGGGAATTAAAATTTTTTCCATTAAGACTATTTTGTAAAGACTGAAATAAATGGAAATCCGAAGGTGCAATGTCTGGTGAATATAGCAGATGAATCAGAACTTCCCAGCCAAGCTGAAACAGTATTTTCCTGGTCATCAAAGAAACATGCGATCTTGCATTATCCTGATGGAAGATTATGTGTTTTCTGTTGACTAATTCCAGACCTTTTTATTGAGTGCTGCTTTCAGTTGGTCTAATTGGGAGGAGTACTTGTTGGTATTAATACTTTGGTTTTCTTGAAGCTCCCTTCCAATCCCACCATATACAAAACATCACCTTCTTTGGATGAAGACTGGCTTTTGGTGTGGTTGGTGGTGGTTCATTTCACTTGCCCCGTGATCTCTTCCATTCCACATTATTGTACAGTATCCATTTTTCATTGCCTGTCAAAATTTGTTTTAAAAATGGAATGTTTTTTGCTACGTGTAAGTAGAGAATCACATGCGGAAATATGGTCAAGAAGGTTTTTTTCACTTAGCTTATGTGGAACCCAAACATCAAAGCGATTAACATCACCAAGCTGGTGCAAATGATTTTCAATGCTTGATTTGGATATTTTGAGTATGTCGGCTATCTCCCATGTGGTTTAACGTTGATTGTTCTCAATTAATGTCTCGATTTGATCGCTATCAACTTCAGTTGGTCTACCTGACCGTGGAACATCGTCCAGCGAGAAATCTCCAGCACGAAACTTCGCAAACCACTTTTGACATGTTCGATCAATCACAGCACCTTCACCATACACTGCACAAATCTTTTTTTGCATTTCAGTTGCATTTTTACCTTTCTTGAAATAATAAAGCATTAAATGCCAAAAATGTTACTTTTTTTCTTCCATCTTCAGTATTAAAATGGCTACACAAAAACTCACCAATTTTGGTAAGTTTTATTTTAAATGCACGCTGATGTGACAGCTGGCACAATACGATCTAACAAAACTGTTTTGAATGAAGTTAAAGACAACTAAGCACTACTAGAGCCATCTTACAGAAGAAAACAAATGAGCGGTTTGGCCCACCCAATATGTATGTATGTAGGTATGTATTTCCAAAGATTCCTATCAGAACCTGATGTGGACTACCTTAATACCACTGGGAAATCTTTCACTTTGGCCAGGAAAAAAGTCTTATACACTATTAAAATTCATGCAGTGTTTTTGTAACATTTACACAGAACTTCATGCTATTGGCACAAACAATGAGGGGCATTTAATGGAGTAAATCAAATGTTTATTTTGTTTGCTTGGTCAGTGAAGATATAGTTATGTATTATATATATATATTTTTTTTTACTTTAAGCTGATGATGTTGATGGTCATCGTGACCATCCTCACCACCCCTTTTATTATTTAATATTATAATATTATTATTATCTAAAGTGAAGTATCTGGAAATATTTATGTGGATAGGTTTAATACATACCAAATTCAGAGACTTGGGTAATAGAAATCAGTACTCTTTACCGGTCTGTCTCAATTCAGACAATGCAGTAGATAACTTAGTCCAGTGCTTCTCAAACTTTAACATACATACAGAATATATACAGAATACCCGGGAAACCTTGTTAAACTGCAGATTCTGGTTCAGTAGGTCTGAAAGTGCAACAAAGTCTGAATTTCTAATAAGTTTCTAGGTGATGCAGATTCTACTGATCCATGATCTACAGTCTAAGTAGTAAGGGTTTAGAGCTTAGTAAATATGACAGACTCAGTTTTTGGGTCCAGTCTGAATATTTGTACTGTCCTTGCCTATTGTAATGAGAGGTACAAAATTTGAACCTAAACTTTATCTAATAATGTAAATTTATTGTAACTTGAATTCCTGTATGTCAGAGACATAGAGATATTACAATGGAAGTAACTTCCTTTTCATATAATGTTGAACACTAAACTTACAATGCCAGTCATTGACAACATAATTCATTATATATACTACAGAAAACTAATTTAACAGAAACTGAGGAATAAGCCAAAAATATAAATTAGTGAAATGGGAATCAATGTAACATAAACCAGTTATTTTGAGAATAATCTGAGGAACCATATTCTTTTTTAATCTAGGAAATAACATCAAGATTTATAATGAATCAGCTAGCAGAAAAAGATCCTTTCCTAATGCAAGCCATAGAATGGTACCCACAGGTCAGGAACATAATCTCGCAGGGAAGAAAATGTGCAATATGTGGAAAGTCCTTTTTAACCACATGGCTGGAATGTGTTGAGTTTTTTCCTCCATCAAAGGTAAATGGTGTTTTTTGTGTGAATATGAGCATAAGACCTCCTCTTATTCTCTGGCCTTATCTAAGTCGACCAGTACTAACTTCATTTGTATCTAAGAATTGACCTCTATGATGATATAATGGGTTTTTTTCCAGCTTTATTGAGATATAATTGACAGATAATATTGTGTAAGTTTAAGGTGTACAATGTGTTGATTTGATACATTTATGCATGCAAAATGATTACCACCATAGAATCAGCTACTATCTCCATCCTGTCACATAGATATCATTTCTTTTTTGTGGTGAGGACATTTAAGATCTACTTTCTTAGCAATGTTCAAATATGTGATACAGTATTATTAGCCATAATCACCATGCTGTACATTAGATCCTCTAACTTGTTATCTTATAACTGGAAGTTTGTACAGTTTGACCAGTATCTCCATTTCCCCCAGCCCCCAACCCCTGGTAACTACCACTTTACTATTTCTCTAAGTTTGTCTTTTTTAGATTCCACATATGTGTTATTGTGCAGTGTTTATCTTTCTCTGTCTGATTTATTTCACTTAGTATAATTCCCTCAGTGTCCATCCAAGTTGTCATAAATGGCAAGATTTCCTTATGTTTCTTGGCTGAATAATATTCAATTGTAATATGTATACATATATACCACATATTCTTTATCCATTCATCTGTTAACAGACACTTAGGTTGTTTCTATATCTTGGCTATTGTGAGTAATACTGCAGTGAACATGAGAGTGAAGATATGTCTACTAAGTCCCGATTTCAGTTTCTTTGGATATATAATAAGAAGTGGGATTGCTGGATCATATGGTAGTTCTATTTTTAATTTTTTGTGGGACCTGCATACTGTTTTCCATAGTAGCTGTACAAATTTGCATTTCCACCAACAGTGCACTAGGGTTCCCTTTTCTCCATCCTCGTTAACACTTGTTATCTCCTGTCTTTTTGATGATAGCCATTCTAGCTGGTGTGAAGTGATACCTCATCATGGTTTGGATTTGCGTTTCCCTAATGATTAGTGATATTGCATACCTTTTCACATACCTGTTGTCCATTTGTACGTCTTCTTTGGAGAAATGTCTATTCAGTTCCTCTGCCTATTTTTAAATTGGGTTGTTAGATTTGTTGCTATTGAGTTGTGTGAGTTCTTATTATATTTTGATATTAACCCCTTGTTAAGTATATAACTTGCAAACACTTTCTCCCATTCCATTGGTTACCTTTTAATTTTGTTGAGTTTCTTTTGCTGTGCAGAAACTTTGTAGTTTGGCTTAATCCTGCTTATTTATGTTTGCTTCTTTTGCTCGTACTTTTGCTGTCATATCCAGGAAATCACTGCTGAGACCAATGTCAAGGAGTTTTTTCCCCTATGTTTTCATCTAGAACTTTTATGGTTTCAGTCCTTAAATTTGAGCCTATAATTCATTTCAAATTCTTTTTTGTGAATGGTGTAAGATAGGGCTCTGATTTCATTCTTCTGCATGTAGTTATCCAATTTTCCCAACCCATTTATTGAAGACAGTATCCTTTCTTCATTGTGTATTCTTGGCTTCTTTGTCAAATATTAGTTGACCTTATATGCAGCGGTTTATTTCTGGACTCTTAATTTTTTTCCATGGGTCTATGTGTCTATTTTTATGCCAGTACTGTACTGTTTTGATTACTGTAGCTTTGTAGTATAGTTTGAAGCCAGGAAGTATGATATGTCCAGCTTTGTTCTTCTTTCTCAGGATTGCTTTGGCTATTTGGGGTCTTTTGTGGCTCCATATAAATTTTAGGATTATATTTGCTATTTTTGAAAATATCATTGGAAATTTTGAAAAATGTCATTGGAATTTTGATACAGATTGCATTGAATCTATAGACAGCTTTTGATAATATGGACATTTTGACAATATTAATTCTTCTGATCCATGAACATGGAATATCTTTCCATTTGTTTGTGTCATCTTCAATTTCTTTCTCCAAAGTCTTGTAGTTTTCCATGTACAGATTTTTTTACTCCTCAGATTTATTCCAAGAACTTTATTGTTTTTGATGCTATTGTGAATGGGATTGCTTTCTTTCTTCATTTTTCATATATTTTGTTGTTAGTGTATGGAAATGCAACTACTTTCTGTATGTTGATTTTGTATCCTGCAACTTTACTGAATTTGTTGATTAGTTCTAACAGTTTTTTGGAAGAGTCTTTAGGACTTTGTATATATAAGATCATATCATCTGCAAACAAAGATAGTTTTACTTCTTTCTTTTCTGTTTGGGTGCCTTTTATTTTATTTTTTAGCCTGACTGTTCTGGTTAGGATTTCAAGTAGTATGTTGAATAGGAGTGGTTAGAATGGGCATCCATTATATAGAGAGAGCTTAGCAGAGTGCTTGGTACATATTTTATTTCTAAGCATGACTGATGAATCACAAGAACTGGATTTAAAAAAATTGTTTTTTAACTTTTTCTTTTATTTATTTATTTTTGTCTGTGTTGGGTTTTCATTGCTGCACATGGGCTTTTACTAGTTGTGGTGAGTGGGGGCTAGTCTTCATTGCAGTGCACAGGATTCTCATTGTGGTGGCTTCTCTTGTTGCAGAGTGTGGGCTGGCACAGAGGCTTCAGTAGTTGTGACGTGCAGGCTCAGTAGTTGTGGCTCATGGGCTCTAGGGCGCAGGCTCAGTAGTTGTGGCGCATGGGCTTAGTTGCTCTGTGACATGTTGGATCTTCCCAGACCAGGGATGAAACCCATGTCCCCTGAATTGGCAGGCAGATTCTTATCCACTGCACTACCTGGGAAGCCCAAGAACTGGATTTTAATACCAGCTCCTGTGTTCTATTAGGTTATTAATATGTTACATCAAATGTATTGTAGAGAAAAATCTGGCAGAGCTGTTGCCAATGAGGGATAATGTCAAGGTGAGATAATGGTTGAGGAGAAATTTAAAAGTTAAACCAGTTGGACATTAAACACCAAGAGATAAGAGAGACCATCAGTGGAAAATGAAAATTGAAATGTATGTTGGTTCTCAAGATGGGAATACATCTGTAATCTTGATTGCTTATGTAACCTATCTGTGAATTATTCACATCACCTTCTGGAATAGATTGTTATATTCCAATCTATATTCTGGAGTAAATTATTACACTAATGAATATAACACGTCATATTATTTGGCAAAAGTTTCCAAAACACTCTACTTTTCACTGGCTATGACATGAACACCTTCAACAAATTGTCATGTTCATTTTTTCCCAATGAATATCTTTCTTGGGAAAGATGTTCTTGCTCTGATAGATTCCAAGTCAAAATCATCTGATGAGCTGCTAGTCTCATTTCAAGTAGAGTAATTGCAATGTTATAATAGCTCTGGCCCTCCAGGAACTTACATACTCCTAGGAGAAGTGATATAGTAAGGTAATTGAAATCTGACAAATTGGGCTTGATGACCAGCCCTACCATTTATGACCTGTGTCACCTTAATTTCATCTTTGAACCTAAGTTTTCATCTCTAAAATTGGTATAAAAATAGTACCTCTCTCACAGAGCTGTTATGAATGAGACATGAGGTAGTCAGTGCTTAGTACAGCAGGTGCTTAATAAAGGTAGTACATAGTAGCTACTTAATAAGGGTATTCTTAAAAATCAATACCTTTAGACAAGAAAGAATGATTATATTCTTGTGATAGGTATTGTGATAGAGGTGTGCACAGGGTGCATGAGAAGAAGGAATCTCAATTAAATGGGAACATTCTCTGGTGTATCCCTGAGTCCTAGCACAGTGATTGTGCTTGGTACTTGGAGAATACCTAATACACATTAAAATTATTTTAATAGGCATTGCTTGTAAATGTGCTTTGAATGACAGGGAGGCATAAGAATAGATAAAGAACCAGTGGACAGGCATTTTAGGTGCAGGAACTGCCTGTTCAAAGGTAATATTGTACAAATAAATTGTACAGTGAGTACAGGGCACTCACTGAGTGTGAAGTATGGGAGATGAGGTTAGAGAGAGGTATGAAATTAGGATGGCTCTTGTATGTAAAGTCTGAACTTAATTTCAAAAGCTACTATATTAGTTTGTTACAGCTCTCATAACAAAGTACCATAGACTGAGTAGCTTAAACAATAGAAATTTATTTTCTTACAATTCTGAAAGCTAGAAGTTCAAGACCAATGTGCCAGAAGGCTTGTTTTCTTCTGTGGTCTCTCTCCTTGGCTTGTTGATGGCTGTCTTCTCCCTCTGTCTTCATATTATCTTCCTTCTCTACAAATGTGTGTCCAAATTTCCTCTTCTTGTAAGTACAGCAGTCATATTGAATTAGGGCCCACCCTAATGACATCATCTTAACTTAATTGCCATTTTAAAGACTATCTCCAAGCACAGTCACATTTCGAAGTACTGGGGGTTAGGACTACAACATATGAATTTTGGGGAGGATACAATTGAGCTACTTATAGTTGTCGAAGCAGTGGAGTAGCAAGATGAGGCTTTGTTTGTTTTTTGACAAAGAATGGTTGGAGCTGGTGATTTGGATTAAAAGATTGTTTATGTAAGTGTGACACTTGAAGCCCTGGGAATGGAGATTGCCTGAGGAAATTTACACAGTGAAGTGAGAAGGCCAGAAGGACAGAACCCTTGAAGACAACAGTATTTAAAGGGTGGGCAGAAGCAGGAGTCAGCAAAGGAGAATAAGAAAATGCAATCAGTGGGGGAGGGGCAAAACCAGGTAGAGTGCCCACAAATTTTAAAGCTATCAAAGACAGATGTGCAAGAAATAAGATTATTTTTACTTTTTCTTCTGCTGGATCCAAAGGCCCCACCTCCTAATACATTAGTCATGACGATTTCAATATAGGAATTTTGTGGGGGACACAAACCTTCAGCCTACAGCAGAAGGCTTAAGGGAAACTTCCCTGAGAAGGTGACATTTGAGTAATGTGAGTCCCGGTCCTCTTTATTAACTTTGTGACTTATTTTTCATTGTCTCCGTTCGCAGGTGAGGC